CTTCTTCACACAATATCGTTTCCTCATTCAACAGTCGGATATGCATATGTCGGATATTATGTTTACTTATCTATGCGGATATGAGTCGTGCGGTAAGATGAGAACGTATAAATTTAATATTTTGCGTTTAGGCCAATACGCGTGTTTACATTAACAGGATTTTATTGTCCTGAGTGACAATAAAAATATTGCGATTACAATCATTACAATTATCGAATGTTTTGCAAGAATACGGAGTCGTATGCCGACTGATGGCTTTTCCGTTTTCAAAGATATTAAATTAATTTTATTTAAAATATAGACTTTGAGCCTACTCAATAGTATATTTACTTTTGGTTTTGTTTTAACTGCCTAAACGAGATAAACCTAAATTTGTTAAATATGAAATATAGTGTGCTTTTATTTATTAACACAGTCAGTTGTCGTATGTCATCATCCAAGATCAATTTAAACTGGTCAGTGCAGATCAATACGGCGTCCATAAGCGGTTTATGAGGTAAATATTACAGGATTATAATAAGAATTATAACAAACATAAAAAAATATTGTAACAAGAGTAAAATTTGTATAATCCCACCACAGTGCTCATGGATGATAAATTATTTATTCTTATAAAAATAACATAACACAGACAAAACTATATTTTAGTTAAAAAAATCTAGTACTTACGCAAAAGATTTAAAATTAGCGAATCCAATTTTAAGTCGAAAGTAATAAATTTTTAGAAAGTTATTCGATTTTATTGTAATATGCTATTTAAGCTATTTATTAACTTCCTGAAGGAGAAGTTTATGTTTTTATCAAAAAATTCTATTCGCTAATTTTATGTTTCTTCGACGTTTCAAGCCATTCTGAATCGAATGAGACAAATTTGGAAAAAAAAAAGTATGAGTGTGTGTGTGTGTGAAAGGTTTTTTTAATTTTTTTGCAAATATTTTACAATTACATAAAAATGACAGCAAACTCCAATTTTTTAATGGTACCGAAATTAGATTTAATTTTTTCGCACTGGGCATGTTAGGCGTAATTTTCTTGTTTATGATATTGTTAATGTTGTTGCCGAAATTGATTATTATCCAGAATTCACTTTTGTTGATTAATCTAAAAAATTTTAGAAGGACATGCGAGTTTTATGCAGATATTTCCTTTCTTATTAAAATTAGCATGATTTATGGTATAGTTAGAATTATTTAGCTATATATATATAAGCAATTATATATAATTGCTTATATATATAGCTAAAACACGTAATTATTAATTCAATGCGTAAATATTAAGTCAGCTTAAAATTATTCAGCAAGAAATTAGGATCAGCTAGTAGAATTAAATCCATACCATTTCAGCTCGTACCATTTTGACGCAATCAGACAATTACTTTATGAAGTGAGTTATAGCTTTTTATGTGAAGCAATTTTTGTGTTTTAAAATTATGGAAAAATCAAACGTAGACGTAAATGCTTGCTCACATATATGTTGAAATAATATTTAATAAACTTCTATGCTTCCCAGTTGACTTTTCTTCAATGAACAAAACACACAAATTCAAAGACAAAGATAAAAATCACACCTAATGAACAAAATACTGGATTAACAGCTAGTCCTTGTTTAAAAAAAAACTTTTTTTTTAATTCTTTACTATCTGAAAATTAATTCATGTAATACCTATAATAATAATTAGTGCTCTGCCCGAATCGTGTGAGAGCACTGCATTTCCCTTTCCTTCCCTTGTTTGTTATTATTATTATTGTTATTATTGTATTAGATTATTACTATTCACGTTTTTATACACTTTTATAAACTTTTTTCCAAACTCCTCTCACGAGTTGCCAATCATTCTGTTCTTCTGTTTTATCTTCAACTTACATTGTTCTTGCAATATGGGTTTCCTTTCCTTTTCATGATTGTGCTTACAAAGTATTTTTTTCACTCTCCTCACTTCTGCTCTTCGGCATTTTTTATTTATCTGTCTACTTTATCTTCTTAATTCATTTCCAGTACCACATACTAAAACTTTTCAAAAAGTTTTTATCAGCCTTATTTAGAGTCCATGTTTCTGATCCGTAATTAGCACTGTTTCAAGTATACCCTTTTTATATATGTACATATGCACTTATATAGTGACATTATTATGATTATAAAATAAAACTAGTTGAAAGTGGCATTTACCCTTAAGGAAGGTTGCATGAACTTTCCGAAATTTGTAAAAATTAACTTAATCAATCGAAATTGAAATTTAGATATTTATTTTATATTTTCAACTGTTTATTTCAAAAACAAAGTTATCAATTCAATTCAATTTAATCTAAACATTGCGATTTCGGAAAGAATTTTCTCAAACATATTTAAATTAACTGTAATTATATTAATTATATTGCACAGACACGTGCTTGCATGCCCTAAAATTGTAGCTTATTATTTTAAATTTTAGTGAATTGATAATTATCAATTATAATTGACTCATCACATCACAAAAAGGACACAAATTTTAACTATAATATTTTCTCAAACTTTGATGATTTTTTAACATTAAACTATTTGTCGTATTGCCGTAACACTTTAGTATGTTTTATAAGACCATGATATCTATTGCCAAAAAGGATCATAAAAATCGCTAAAAAAATTTTTTCAACAGTTAATTTCAAGGCAACGGGTCGGTAGACTAATCAGTATCATTTCCAACCAATATTTTATTAAAAGTTTTTCATTTTTTAAAATCAATTGAAATGAAAACTGAAGAGTGAAGAATGAAAACTGTTTTCATAATCTCTCATACCACTTACCAGGCACTTCTGTCTGTTTGAGATATGAAAATAATGTATATATATAAATAAAAAAACGGATAAGCCGATCTTCGCACAAAACTGATAAAAGATAATTCACATTGAAATACATCGATTGGCTTTTAAAAATCGTTTCAGGCGTTTTCAAACAATCGTTGATGAAAGTTCTAATTTTGACAAACGCCAAAAAAAAAACGATACTAATTTTTGCAAACTTTGACGAATTTATGAAATTAAACGACTTGTCGTAGAACCGAAATATTTAAGTGTGATCTATAAGACTGATCTACCGTCAAAAAAAAAAAATCATGAAAATCATCGAAAATTTTTTTTTAACACTTATCACAAGAAAACGGCCTGGCCGATCTTTACCAAAAACTAATCAGGTCGATTCTTAACCAATATTTTTCGAACGGTTTTTGAATTTTAAGATTGATTCAGAATTGCGGGCTAAAACCTGGTCGAAAATTTTTCTGTTATTTACAAAGAAACGGCTTGGCTGATTGTCTTTTAAATGGCTTTTAAATTTTTGAAATCGGTCAAGTCGTTATTGAGAAAAGTCGATTTACGGAAAAAAGTCTGTTCACATACACACGCACATATACTTTTTCTCAAATTTGGTCTCATTCGATTCAGAATTGCTTGAAACGTCGAGAAAACATGAAATTAGCATATCGGATTCTTTGGTGAACTTTGAAAACATAAACTTCTTTGGGAAGTTAATAAAATATTATATTTTTATTATTATTTATTTATAAATTGTACTCAATAACAGTACAATAAAAATAGTATTTTTACAAATTTATTTAATTTTACACATATGTTGATTGCAAATAACTTACTGTTTATCAGAAATTGCCTTTGTTAATAATATCCGAAAAATACTATGAATAACAATAAACAACAATTCAGATATTAAAGCAATTTTATGATGAACCAATATTATTTATTAATTTGGTCTTAAACAGTCTTAAAAAGTTTGTCTCAGGCGATACTTTGTGTTGAATATCATATTGTATTGGTAAAAAATTCTGTTATTTAACATATGTTAAATAATTATATAATAATTATTTTACAGCAATGACCTTCAGCACCTGTACAAACTAGGAAATAGTTGTTCAGTTGGCTCATATACAATATGTACTAATGACCATTATTAATTATGAGATAACTTTATTATTTATATGTAATTAACTTATTTTTAAATATTTAAATATAAGCATTTATGACTGCTCACATAATGATAAATACTTTTTATTACACTTTTTGCATTTAGAACATGGTTGTCCAATCGCATACGTTGGTGCCTCTAAAAGATTTCCTTCGGAATAATTGCATGCCATTAGCAGCGCATGGACCAAACCGAATTCTGGGTGAGGTTGCAGGAAGAAGGATACCGCGCAGCCCATGTGAGTAGCCTCATCGCGAACCAATTGGGTGAAATGACCTCTTTGGATGCTATTAGATAAATAAAATTAAATTAAAAATACGAAATAATACAACAAATCAGAAAATGACAATAAGCTATAGATTTACAACTATTAGTGTTAATTAATTTAGTGGTTTCCAACCTTGTTGTACCTGCGTCCCTCGTTTCTTTAAATTTATTGTTACACTTTCTTCACATAAGATTTTTTCACACCCAATTTGATTTTTTGTTTGTATTCGTGAATAGTATTTTGAAAACAATAACCACTCTTACAACAGTACAACATATGGGATATCACGAAAATACTTTAATTTTAATTTAACCAGTTAACTGATTGACGAGTAAACTTGACATGAAAAGTGACAGAATTTTGTATATTGACGTGTACAGTCGTCATGCATATAAATATTTAACCATTTTGACTATTTATATTGCAAATTTTGAAAAAATGAAACAAACACACTTTGTAATTTAAGATATTTACAATATTGTATGCCCATACAATTGTACGAGCATTTAATAAAAGCTCGTACTTATGTCATTTTATCTCAAAACATACTTTTCTGACGATTCTGAACTGTACGTACAGCGCACCATGGTTAACTGGTTAATTTAACTTTGACGTATTTAATTTTTAAACCGTTTTTTAATTTTTGTTAAATTTGATACCGTAGGGCAAAAATACCGAGGACAATCACACTTCACTCAATAAGTTCGTGGCAATAAGTCCACTCAATAACTAAGAAAAACTCATAATTTTGGCAAATTTTTTTTTTTATTCAATATAGTTTTCTTCGAAGACGATATACCAATTATAGCGAACTTCGAACATTTCGAAACCATTTTTGTAGTACAATTTGTACTTAGTCACAAAATTCGTTTATCGTCTCATCATTTGGCAAATATTTCTTCAGAGCGAACATCCTTTTGAGATCTGAGAACAGGATATGGTCCCTGGGAACGGATCTACAGAATATAGTTAGTGGGAAAGCAACTCGGAACCTAATTCATGTTATTTTTGGCGACTGTTTTCGCGGATTTGTGAATTGGTGCTTTGTTCTGATGGAGCAGCACGGTTTTTTCTTTTCAAATGGGGCGGTTTTTTCGAGTTTGATCTTCAAATGTTCTAATAACATTATACAATAGTTACTGTTGATAGTTTGGCCCTTTTCAAGATAGTTGATGAATATAATTTTCTGTGTATCCCAAAAAACTGACGCCATAACCTTGCCAACTGATTGGTTACATTTTTTCTCGTCATCGCGTCGGGTACACTCGGTTGATTGTCTATTCGACTTTGGAATGTAGTGTTGAAGCCAGGCCATATTCATGGTAACATATTGATGCAAAACTTCAGTTTTGTTCTGATTAAACAGTTCCAAATACTCTTACGATCATCAACTCGTTATGCTTTTGGTCAATTGTGAGTTTGCGCGGCACCCATTTAGCACAGAGGTTTTTCCTATTCAAATATTTATGAACGATGTGTCCATCACCTACTATTGATATCTTTAGGGTGTTAGCTCTCTCAGGCAATTTTACTTTCCGGTTCTCCAAAACGTTTCGGTGGATCTTTTTTATATTCTCCGGTGTAACCACCTGAATTGGCCTTCCGGAGTGTTCAAGCATTGTCAGTGTCTGTTAGGCCACGATTAAAATCAGCAAACAACTTCTTCACCATCTACCTCGATTTGGAACAATCTAGATAACACTTATCAAGCGATACTTTGGCAGCAGCAGCAATGGTACTTTTACCCATCAAAAATCAATGATAAATCAACCCACGAAATTTCTTTGAATTCATGATTTCGAAAAACTCAAAAATAGCATCACTTGAACCTTTGTAACTTGTAAACTAATCGTTCGATTGTCATGAAATTTTGACATATATTTTTTTTAGAGTTGTTGCTTCCTAAAAATCATATGGATGATTACATAGCTACATCTTTTATGCGTTATCATACGGACTTATTGAGTGGCGTTATAATTTTATGGTTAATTAAAATGGATATCATACCCATCTTCAATATTGTGGTAGCTTTGTAGAAGTGAAAGCTCGCAATCTGCCACTTCATCATACCATCGTCTGATGATGTCAACTAACAGTGGGTCAGTAACTTGAAAATAATCCAGCGATGTTGACCAAACGCTTCCTAAATTTTGTCCTGCATGCGGAAATTTATCTGAAAAGAAGATAACATTTCAAAAATGCTAGTAGTAAAATAGTAACAACTACATATTAACTAGTAGTAATTAGTAACAAACTTCATAATACGAATTATGTCGTTATACGAATGTAATAATTTTATTGTATTGATTCAAAAACACAAACATTAGGTAAAATTATCTAGTTTGTTTTAGCTATATAGAAATAATTGTGTATTCTTTGTAGTCGCAAGTACTTATTAGGGGCAATGTCATAAAATCGAGAAGGATCATCGAACAATAAGACAGCAAATGGCTTTGGCTTATTAAGTGGTGCTTTGGCATTTATCTGTGGACGTGTTTTATGACATAAATGATAAATCGAACTTAAACTTTTGTAAGATTTATGTCTCGTTCATCTTTACAGAGGAACGTTTAAGATTGTTGCAACTCAAACGTTAAACTAGTGATATCTCAAATGTTTTGGAAAAAAACGTATTTACCCTAGACAATTTGTAGATTTTAATATTATAAATGGGAACAAAATTATCTTCTTTTTCTGCCAAAGCATATTAAAGCATTTTTCTTAATCCTTTTGCTACAAGGACTACCTGTTTATACGGGCCTCCACATGACTAGCTTATACATTTTGCTTCAAAAAATCTTTTGCTTTAGAAGAGTAATATTTAATTTTTAAATACATTTTGATTCAAATGATTGTAAAATCTGAAAATACATTGTTGTGCCTGAGCCGAAAAGACTCTCGTAATGAAAGGGTTAATAAAGAGGTTTACCATTCAAAACACTAATAGGGGATCAGTGGGCCCAAAGGCAAACACTTTTCTTACTATGAGCAGAATACTTACAATTAGTTAATTTTTCAAGTTAAAGTTACGGCAGATGACGAGATAAGTGTAATATTTTCATAACAGCATTAAATCATAATCAGACATTGAGTGTCTCTCATGAGAGCCGTAAAAGTATTTTCGTACAAGTGCACTAGTTTGAACGTACACTAATGATTATCTTTTATTTTCTAATAAATAATAGATTATATCAATATTTTTTATATTACATTAATTGCTGTTCAGAGATTTCTTTATCAATTTAGTGCGTTAATATACGTACTTATATTTCTACATATTGTTGACTTTATATGTCATTGGGTTGTTTCCATGTCGAATAATGTTATCTGATATTCTAGATTAAAACATTTTTTTATTACTTTAATAATATTGATATTTCTCGGTTATTCTTTTAATAATATAATCCTTGATATAATAACACATGTATTATATATATATATATATATATATATATATATATATATATATATATATATGAGTGAGTTCTTGAGGGCGATACATCAAACAAAGAAAAGCCAAAGATTTATAAAATAATCTTTATTTCCAAACGTTTCGACATTCAATTTAATGTCATTATCAGTGGATATTACGTTGGTTGGTTACATATAGAGAAGTGTACACAGCACTAGAGATTGGCACTAACATTTATACAACTAACTTGTCAGCACTATGCTTTTTTTATATAATTTTTTTGTATGATGTAAACAGAAAAATGGTAGTTTTATTGAACAAAAATGTAAGTAGAATTATGTAATTTCTGCCACGACTTCTATACTTTGCTAGTACCGAGGCATGTAATAATACATACATACATACATGCCTCGGCACTAGCAAAGTACAGAAGTCGTGGCAGAAATTACATAATTCTACTTACATTTTTGTTCAATAAAACTATCATTTTTCTGTTTACATCATACAAAAAAATTATATAAAAAATGCATAGTGCTGACAAGTTAGTTGTATAAATGTTAGTGCCAATCTCTAGTGCTGTGTACACTTCTCTATATGTAACCAACCAACGTAATATCCACTGATGATGACATTAAATTGAATGTCGAAACGTTTGGAAATAAAGATTATTTTATAAATCTTTGGCTTTTCTTTGTTTGATGTATCTCCCTCAAGAACTCACTCATATATTTCAACATCAAAATTAACTACTAAATCATATATATATATATATATATATATATATATATATATATCTTGATTGTTAATTTGCAGCCATTCGTCGAAATAAAACAAACAATAAATAAATAATTATTTATTTAAACGTTCACTAACTACCATGCGCATACGAGGGGCTTTAGTGCGCTTTTTGTAACGCGTGTCTTGCAAAGTTCACCAAGTTTGAAAATTTTAATTTCAAAGTCCAACAAATAGTATTAATTCTAGATAATTTTGGGATTGTCCATTCTATTTTTGACTGCGAACGAAGAAATTTCACAAATTGTTTGAAATATGTCAATTGGGAATCGTGCTGATCGATTGTTTTTAAAAATCGGCTGGCCCATGTCTTTGTAATTCATTGTTGAAACGTTTCTTTCTTGATTTTGATGAAACTTTTTATATTGACAGAGTTTATGTAAATGCTCTGAATATTCTCTAAAATAATATGGGTCTACGAAGAGTAGTTTGATCATACAGGTTCATGGTTCATCAAGGTTTAGAATATTAGGGGGCGTCCATTAATCACTTGAGCGAGTTTTTAATGATTTTTAGACCCCCCCTCCCCCTTGGTGATATTCAAAATTACCCCCTCTCCCCCACCAAACATCACGTGTATTTTTAGTTACGTGAAAAAACTGTACAATTTTTAATTTTTTTAAAAAATGTTTAAACTTTTTTATAAAAAATAGTAAAAAAAATAAATACACGTGATATCTTGCTATACCCCTCCCTCCCCCACGTGATATTTCGTGATATTTTGTCAAACCCCCCCTCCCCCTAAAAACCTCACGTGATTAATGGACGCCCCCTTCTCACAAAATAACAAAATATTATCGTCGCAATTTTATAAGTTGCTTCAAATTCATAGTTATTGAATACGTTATTTACACATATCGAAAAGTTTTTACAACTTGTCTTAAAGAATGCCGCTTATATCTTGTTTATTGAGGTTTTTTTTGGAAATGATAGTAATGCTTATAAAAAATTGAATAGAAGGTCGCGTTAATGACCGATAAGTTGCATGGCTTTATCCTTCCCCTATAGTTCAGAATATAACAATATTAATAAAATTATAAATTTTATATATTCATGAAATAAGAAAGCTGTTACTAAAAATGAGATAAAATGACAAGGATGTCGAATTATGAGATATTCAATTATTTTTCATATGTTTGGGTGCAAATCAATAAATATAAGAAGAATTATGCCAGACTCAAAATAATTGCGGTAGCAAATCAATTAGCAATAAGTTTGCCTCAGTCAGTGTAGAAAATACAGACTTCAATCTCATGATTAAAATAGCTTTATCTCATATTATTTTCATTATATATATATATTATATATATATATATATATATATATATTGATGTGTATGTGTGAAAATAATTAAATTTCAATAACTTCAATTGTATTACCTGTCCTGGCACAATCATGTCGCATGATACAGCTCATCACGTTCAATTGCGCAAGGTATGCAAGTTCATCATCCCATATCTGTCATTAAAAAACAATAAATATTTTATCATATGAGATCAATAAACGGATTAATTGAATTGCTATTCTTTAACAAGATGCCGATATTCATATTTCTAGAAATACCATATATCAAACAGGAAAGCAAATCCGCAAGATAAAAATTCTTTGATAATTTTCGAGCCGGTTTCTTATAAGTAATTATTTGATTGATCCAATAGATTAATATTTAACTTAATTATAAGTAGCCGCAACAGTCAAACACGTGTCTGTTGGCCCGAATTTATTTTTGGTACGATAATAATTATCAAAACAGAGATCGATAATCATAATCAAATATATGCCATCAAAGATTGCAATATGAATCGGCAGACGCGCGTGCTTATATATTGTGATTGTATTTATCATATGTCAGTACTTGATAAGGTTACCTGGAACAATACTATGTGATAGCGTATGCAAATACACCCCTTATCTCTATTTGATCGTCATATTTTATTGTATTTGATTATTACTAAAAAATAATTAAAACGGTCCCTAATTATCCGCATAAATGGCTATTAGCATTAGCACTAAAGTTTCCAACTTTTCTTATTTATATCAGATGATATATTTTCGATGCAGTGATATCAGATTTTCACTGGAGATTCTAGATCTCAAATGTGATAGGAGCCTTTCGGGGCCTTGCTGCAATATATATTCACCGTGTGAATTTCACATTACTATCAGAAATATATCTAATATATTCTCTTCTCATCAGAAGATGAATAGTCGACCATTTGACTTTCTTCTACAAATGCTCATATAATACTTAAAACTTACTAGTAGTGTATGGCATCATGCCTTGCTAGGCAAATAGCTGGAACTTCCCGAAATGTTCGAGGAATATTAAATCTTTTCAAATAGATTATTATAAATACTGTAGCATTGTCTAATATTTATAAAAAATATATAAACTGAATAACAAAATTAAAATTATTTATTTAAAGTTTTAAGTGAACTTTAGAACTTTAGCCAGAATTAAAATTAAAATCTGAATTATTTCATATACAAAAAAAAAAAAAATGTTGAAAACAGGAAAAATTAATTTGGAAATACAAAAAAATCTTTTCCAAAAGCAATTGTTTTGTCAACACAAGCAAAAAGTTTTTTGATCATTTAAATCGGATGCTTAATTTTCTCAAAAACTCCATATTTTTTACATTTAGCTCTGTATCTTCAAAATAGTTGGATCACTACAAATTAAATGTTTTTTGGATCATTCAAATTGGATACTTCGTTCTCTCAAAAACTCGATTTCTATTTTCTGGACTCTTTGCTCCATATCTCTGTAACGGCTGGATCTGCCTTTGCCAAAAACTAATCAGCACATCTCCCTATTAATAGGAATCGAATGTTTTTTGAACCATTCAAATCGGTTGATCAGTGCGCCCGAAAACGTGGACGATTAATTGCGGACACACAAATCTATAACTTACCCTACGGAAAGTTAAAAAATTGGTCTTTTCTGACGAATTTTACTCCGCTCTCTTATAAAACAGTTCGTGCCAATAAAAAACATTTATACTGGTTGTGAGGTTTGGACTAAAATTTGTTAGCAAAGATCGAAGTATTTTAAATTTTTTTATTCTCTTATTCGTTTGTTTGGTATAAAATTAACAATATTTGTACCAGTTTTACAATCTTGATTGAATGCGCAAACTTCCAATGACACTTCCATTGCATTCCATTTTGTTTAAAAAGAGTGTCATTCAAATTTGTCAAATTTTGAATTTTTAAATTCATAGTTTAATAATTGCTACTTAATTTGCATAATCTTGTTATAATGTGAATTTATTTTATATTCACCAGGAAGTCTATTGAAAGAAGAAATCTTAAAATCATAATTATAGTTTTACACATGAATTTTAATAGCTTCTGGGTAAAATATTTCACATTATTTATAGTAAATATTTGGTATTGAGTTTTCGTTTCTCAACCAATAACTTAATTTACTAATTGGTTAATTGAAGGTTACCAATAACTCATTTCTTAACTCTTATTTCTTAATAAATACGTATTTGTGCGAAAAATGTCTTCAAACAAGTTAAAATTATAATTTATTCTATTTTGAATACTATTGATGCATGTATTTTACACGTCAAAGCCTTCACAGCATATCAACATAAATATGAAAACTATACTTTTCAATGACGCAAAATTAAAATTTGATAACGTTATTTAATTGTTTATATTAATTTCAATGTCTATATATTTATGATTTGAAATATATAAGCGTATCCTATACTTCCGAATTCAACATCTTGAACTTTATAAGTTTTGATACTTGTTACTTTTCTTGACGTTTTGAATCATTCTTTAATTGGAAAAAGCATGTTTCTGTGTGTGTGAGCCAACTTTTAACATTTCGTCGTCGTTTTCACAGAAACCGTTGCACCGATTTCAAAATTGAATATTTGTTTGATGAAAGTCGTTTTTTGTCATCGTTTTAGTCAAAAAAAATAAATATGTAGTGCTGCTTAATTTTTAGTATTGATCGGCTGGGCCGCTACTTCATAATTAGTTATTAAATTTGTTTTTGACGAATTTGATGAAACTTTTTATGATGATATGTTAACATGGTCTTAACAAACATCCTTAAATATTATGGGGCCGCGAAATGTGGTTTATTTATAAATTATACTTATAAAGAAAAAATTCTGCTTCAAAATTTCAAACTTGTATTACCACTATTTTGGAAGTTGCTCTGAATTCTTATTGATTGTAGTTCATATAACTTGCCTTAAGGCAAAATACTGCTTATAATTTATTATAATGATTATATGAGTTCAACATTTAATTCTGGCTTGACATCATCGACATATTATATTCTATATGTAAAGGCTGCTCTACATATTATAACTCTAAATATTATTCATAGCAATCTGATAAATAATTATTTATTAAAGTGCTAAAAATAATTTCTAGAGCTATAATATGTAGAGTAGCCTCTAGTCTAGAGGCTTCCTTTTCTTTTTTTTAACAAATATTAATGTTTTTATTTTAAAAGAAAACAAAAAGATTACAGATATCGAGTTTTCCCCGAAAACCTAAATACTACCTTATCAAATTTGCTTTAAAAAATATTGATAGGAACTGTACAACAATTATAGTGGGATTTTGATCAAATAAATAACTAGTAGGGTGTAAAAGGCAAATTGCTGAAACTTTCCGTACCGTAATTAAAAATCTTGGTACGGAACCCAAAAAAATTTACACAAAATGTGTACAGATCTTAGGAATGTATCATCGGAACGGCTAGACCTGCTTTCGCCAAAAACTAATCAGCACATCTCCTCGTCAATACAAATCGAATGTTTTTTCAATCATTTAAATCGGTTGATTCGTGTTCCCGAAATCGTCGACGAAAATTTGTATCCGCGCACACATACACTCACGTACACACATAAGCACATATACACGCATACACACATACATGCATTCATTTTTTCTAAGGTATGCCAAAATATTCAGACACCTTTGAAACGTAAAGATATATAAAAATTTTCATTTTCGATTTTTTTTTGCGATTACTATAACTTAGCCTACGGGAAATTAATAATAATTTATTCTGGCTTAACTTATCAATATAAATCGAAAATGAAAATTTTTATATATATTTACGTTTTAAAATTTCCTGAACATTTTGTCATACCTTAGAAAAAATAGATGTGTGTGTGGGTGTAGCGTGTGTGTGTATGTACGGATACAATTTTTCGTCGACGATTTCAAGAACACGAATCAACAGATTGGAACAGTTCAATGAATATTCTATTTATTGATAAGGAGATGTGTTGATTAGTTTTTGACAGAAGCAGGTCTAGCCGTTATGAAGATACGGAGCAAAATGTGCCAAAAATGGTATTTCAGTTTTAGAGAGAACGGTGTTCAGAAAACATTCTACTTGTATTGACGGAATGAACAACAGGAAGGCACGAATAGTGTTTTCGGAGATCCAATAAAAAAAGTAGAAAATAATGCCAATTGGCGGTCAAAAATGATCATTAGACATTTGCACGTCATATAAACAAATATTTTATAGAGATTATAATAATAATTACAAATTTTGTGTACATTTATATGGGTTCCGTACCATTGTTCTTACATTCTATATTTCGTTGTCCTTATCTTCTATATTTCGACTCTAAACAGCTATGTAGCGCGACTGCTTCAAAAAATGTTCAATATTTTAAAAAAAAATATGAAAAGATTCTAAATTTTCAAAAAAATCCAGTTTTTTTCAAAAACTTAAAAGTTCTCAAAAATCTATTTTTTTCAAAGTTTTGAAAAAGTTTCTTTAAAAAATCTAATTTTCGGTACGGGAAGTTCTAGCAATTTGCCTTAAGACACGATGCCATGCACCACTAGTTCTGGAATATAAATGCCATTATATTGATACCTTACCAGCATATTCATTGAGCTAGCGGGCGGCAATAGTCCATCCTTGCTCTGTTTTTCTTCGCCCGCAGCAATTTTGTTACGAAGTCGATTATGCTCATCCAAGAGAATCGCCTTTCTTTCGTTCGTCATAGAAATCATTTTGAATTTTTGACACACATCAGCTGGTTTGCCCTGGAAGATAAAATATTGCGTGTTGATAAGATAATATATTTTACAAGTGTATTAATCACATTTTTGTGATAAGAATTATGTCATACCTTTATACTGCCAATCATCACAAATAATCCTTTACATTAATTGCTTATAATATTTCATCATTTTAGAGATTTTTTACAATATCTTATTGAATATGCAAAACTAATTTTAATAAATTTAATAAAATCAATTATTTTATTAAAACAAGCAGAAAGTTTCTCATTCATCATTTTTAAATCGAACGCTTAGTTCTCTCAAAAACTGCCATTCTGTGCACATTTAGCTCTGTATCTTTAAAATGGCTGGGCCTGCCTTTGCCAAAAACTAATAACCACTTCTCCCAATTGAATTACTAATTTAATGTTTTTAGATCATTCAAATCGGATGCTCCGTTCTCTCTAAAACTCGATTTCTATTTTCTGCACTCTTTGCTCTTTATCTCCATAACTGCTGGACCTGCCTTTGCCAAAAACTAATTAGCACATATCCCTATCAATGGGAATCGAACGTTTTTTGAACCATTCAAATAGGTTGACCCGTGCGCCCGAAAACGTGAACGAAAAAATACGGACACACAAAACACAGACACACACACATCCATTTTTCTGAGGTATGCCAAAATGTTCCTTCAAAACGTCGAGAAATGCAAAATTTTCATTTTTGAATTTTGGACGATTACTATAACTTACCCTACGGGAAGTTAATTAAACTAGTTGGTTTGGTATTTAGCCTTGAGGCAAATTACATGAACTTCCCGATATGTGTAAATAATCGACTTGATCAAAAAAATGTGTAATAATATACTTCATCAATCCTACTTTAAAAAAAAACGAGATAATTTTTAGCAAAGTTTGACGAATTTTTAAAATTAAACTACTTGTTGTAAGGCCGTAGCATTACAGTAAGTTCTATAAGACCATGATGTATATCGCCAAAAAAAGTTCCATGAAAATCGGCTTCATTTTTTTTTCAACAGTTCATTACAAGAAACGGCTCGGTAGATTTTCACCTAAAATTAATCAGCATCATTCCCAACTAATATATTTCGAACAGTTTTTGATTTTTTAAAATCGGTTCGGTAGGATGAGTTGAAATGTGGACGAAAATTTAACACTTTTTTTTCAACATTTAATTACAAGAAAACGGCTCGGTAGATTTTCACCTAAAATTAATCAGCATCATTCCCAACTAATATCTTTCGAACAGTTTTTGATTTTTTAAAATCGGTTCGGTAGGATGAGCTTAAATGTGGACGAAAATTTAACACTTTTTTTCAACATTTAATTACAAGAAAACGGCTCGGTAGATTTTCACCTAAAATTAATCAGCATCATTCCCAACTAATATCTTTCGAACAGTTTTTGATTTTTTAAAATCGGTTCGGTAGGATGAGCTTAAATGTGGACGAAAATTTAACACTTTTTTTCAACAGTTAATTACAAGAAAACGGCTCGGCAGATTTTCACCTAAAATTAATCAGCATCATTCCCATCTAATATCTTTCGAACAGTTTTTGATTTTTTAAAATCGGTTCGGTAGGATGAGCTTAAATGTGGACGAAAAGTTCAACACTTTTTTTCAAATTACGAAGAAACGGCTTGGCAGATCGTTGCACAAAACTGACAAACGATAGTCCTCACCGAAATACATCAAATGGCTTTTAAATTTCTAAAATCGGTTCAGGCGTTTTTTGAGAAAACGCGTCGATCAAAAGTCTAATTTGGACAAATGCAAAAAGACCATACTGATTTTTGCAAATTTTTAAAGCTGAACCAGTTGTCGTAGGGCGTATATTTTAGTATGACCTAGAAGACTGTGGTATCTATCGTCAAAAAAATAATCATAAAAATTGTCAAAATTTTTTTTTTTTAAACTTTATTACAAGAAAACGGCCCGGCCGATCTTTACCAAAAACTAATCAGCACGATTCCCAACCAATATCTATCGAACGGTTTTTGAATTTTCAGAATCGATTCAGAATTGCGGGCTAAAACGTGAACGAAAAATTTTTCACTTTTCCTGCAATTTACAAAGAAACGGCCCGGCCGATCGCCGCACAAAACTCAGAGACGATAGTCCTCATCGAGATACATCAAATTGCTTTTAAATTTTTGAAATCGTCCAACCGTTTTGGAGAAAACGTCGATTTACGGCAAAAAATCTGTTCACACACACCACACACACACACACACATACACAACACACACACATACTTTTCCAAATTTGGTCTCATTCGATTCAGAATGGCTCGAAACGTCGAGAAAACATAAAATTAGCGATTCGGATTTTTTTGATGAAAACAAACTTCTCCTTCGGGAAGTTAATAACAAATAAAAAGGCTGTTTTGTCCTACCTTCATTTATAATAAGTTAAGAATGATATCTTCGTTATACATTAAAATGTTTATATTAAATTAGTTTCTAGCTATTATTTCAAAAGTATGATTAATTTATTTAACAACTAATTTTTTTCCTTTCTTTTCTCTAATCACACACGAATTTTTTAAAATCATTTTATTTAGATGAATTTATTTTGATTTTATAGAGTTTCTTCATAGAATTAATAATATTACTTTCCGTCTTTCGATAATATTTAATGATATAGTAAGTGATTGAATTCAGTTTCGCATTTAATATAAGCGAGCTATAACATGATAATTATATATGAAAAAAAATATCACGAGCGTGTTAATCAATAAAAACATAATGAATACCTAATTATGATGAAGTAATTAATCATTCTTAGATGAATAATTATTTTCGCATAATGTATTGATAGTTTTCCGGTATTCGTGTTGGCATCTCAACAAGGTAGTAAATAAAAATAATTAACAATCGTGCGTTAAAGACTCTAGAAAAAGAGCTAATAGCACACTTTAAAGTTTTTCTATTAATTTAATACATGTCTTCATTCATACATTATAATACCTATTTAGCAAAATATAAGCTGTTGGATCAAACTTTATGTAAATGTTTTTACTTTTATTTAAGTAAAATATAACTTATCCGATTCTCGTCCTGTTTTACTAAAGCTATGAAAAATACACGATTATACGAGTAATCTTAATCACAAGTATTAATTTTAATTTTAACTATATTTTTGAACTTATTTATTGTCAGAAAATTACAAAATATCGTCCAACCCGTCTCAGAAAATATTGTAATGATTTTATAAATAGTCCCTAATCTTTTTCATTGCGTTTTAATTGTTATTATTAACTTGCTGTAGGGCAGTTATAGTAATGGGCCGAAAAACGAAAATGAAAATTTTTGCATATCTACACGTTTTAAAGATTTCTGAACATTTTGGCATACCTCAGAAAAAATGGATGTGTGTGTGTGTGAGTTTTGTATGTCGGCATTTTTTGTCCACGTTTTCGGGCGCACGGATCAACCGATTTTGAAACATTCGATTCCCATTGATAGGGAGATCAGCTGATTAGTTTTCTTTCGTTAGACTAAAGTTCTAATATACTTTAAATAAATAATTTCAACTTTGCAATTCAGTTCATATAATTTTTACAAATATTAGACAATGTTACGATATTTATAATAATCTATTTGAAAACATTCAATATTCTTCGAACATTTCTGGTACGGGAAGTTCCGGGAATTTGTCTTAAGACACGATGCCATACTACGCTAGTTTTTATTATTTTTGTTCAGTATATGAAATAATAAATCATAATGGCTAAAAGGAATTATGAAAAAATTAATTAAGAATTAAAAACATTACATTTTTTTGTGAGGCGGGTCGCCTTTGTCTTTTTTATTTTATTTTCGATTTAAATATTATCGTTTTGTAGACAGTATATTTAATAGACATATATTTTTATCTTAATATATATCTTAAATTTTATTGTTTATTTTAATTTATTTGTAAATTAAACCCAAATAATAAAACTAATTTAATTAAAGCTGAACGTAAATATTTGTTTTGAAATATGACTGCAACTTTATATGTTGTACACCTTTGCCAGGGTAAAAGTTCAGTTGGTCCTTTTATACCTCACCCACTTGCAAGCTTTTATAGAGGTTATATAAAGAACTTATAAATCTAATTTAAAATTAAAAATAAATCTTATTAAAACAATTAAATAACTTATACGTAAAAATTATATTAAGATCTCGTAAACAATCAAAAAAACTTACAACGAAAGAAAATGCTTTTGATATGGAATTTCAAAAATTAACATTCATCTCTCGATAGCATTGTCGTAAGAATCAAGGTGATGGCTGGTTATACATCTCATTCCCCCAACTTACAAATATCGTTGTTAAGAAATTCTTAACTTTACTTGTTTTTGATATATCAGTTGTAGACCTTTTTATTCTCAGACCTTTAAGCCCCGATCTATCAATATATATATGGTTGCATAGCTTCTACTGTTACTCTTGGTTAATCGCAAAAAAGTCGAAAATGAAAATTTTTACTTATCTTTACGTTTCAGAGGTTTTTGAACATTTTGTCATACCTTATTGTTAGAAAAAATGGATGTATGTGTGTGTGCGTTTGTGCGTGTGCGGATACAAATTTTCGTCAACGATTTCGCGAACGCGGATTAAACGATTTGAATAATTTAAAAAACACTCGATTTCTACTGACAAGGAGACGTGCTGATTAGTTTTTGGCAAAGGCAGGTCTAGCCGTTTGGGAGATACGGGGCAAAAAGTACCAATAATGGCATTTTAGTTTTTGATATAACGGAGCGTCTGATTTAAATAATTCAAAAAACTTTTACTTGTATTGACGAAATGAACAACTGGTGAAATTTTTGTAAAGGCATCCAGCGTCTCCGGAGATCCAATAAAAAAGTAAAAATATGCCATTTGGTGGTCAAAAATGAACATTAGACATATGTACATCGTATTATAGGATTTTTTATAAAGATTATAATGATAAATACAAATTTTGAGTACATTTATATGGATTCCGCACCAATGTTTACACGTTAGACGACTACGCGGCGCACACGCGCTTTGAAATTTTGACTCCAAATCAGCTATGGCAGCACGATTGCAGGTTCAAAATTTTCAAAATTTTCAAAACAAATCAAAATATAAAAAAATCAAAATGTAAAAAAGTCGAAGTATTCAAACAGGTCATTTTTTTAAAAAATTCAAAATTTCTCAAAAATCTAATTTTTTCAAAGTTTTGCAAAGTTTTTTTTTAATAATTTAGTTTTTCGTACGGAAAGTTCCAGCAATTTGCTTTAAGAACGATGCCATGCACCACTAGTTTACTTATTTTAAATCAAATTTAAACTTAAATATGTATTTATCGGCATTCATTATATGAAATCATCCACAATACATGGTAGAAATTCATATTTTGTAAATTAAATAAAGTGAAAATGATACAACACATAAGAAAGATAAAGAAAGGTAAAGCGGCGGGGATTGATGGAATTCCAAATGAAGCGTGAAAATGCACTTTATTTAATAGATTTTTCAAATTACTTAAATAAACAAAAGTATTTTACTCACCGTGTGATTGCACCCAGCATGCGGCAGTCCAACATCCCAACATAAAAAGTCGTCACAATAATCCGTACCATTCGCCACACTCGCTAACAATATCGTAATTAGCAGTAAATCAACTGCTAAATATTCCATGAAACGACGTGAGCTCGAAATAGTAAAAAATGCAATCATTGCTGATACTACACTACCGATTGATAGGAAATGAAGATCATCAATGAAGATGAACTGGAGTCTGGGTGATAATTTATAAAGTACCTACCACCTTGACGTCATTTGACACCAGAAGCGAGGTGCGTGAGGTATACGCCTTGTTTAAGTTGAAAGAAAACATTTTTATTGATAATTCTGTACAATTATTAATAATTGCGTTAGTTAACCACGAGTTGATAGGCCGCATGGAATATTTTAGCTGCTCATGTCTTGCATATTAGGAGTTTATTTCTAATGAAACTTGTATAAAAATATATAAAAGCAAAATTAGTTTCTTGTGGTATCACATATAAACTGTAACCCTTTGTAGTTTTATTATTCAATGATTATTAGCATTGGTTGGACAACATTTTGCATTCTTTCTCAACATTCTGTATTTCTTTTGTATTACTTGTGTTAATATTCTGATTGAGTAGTGCGGGGCTTAAAAGTCCACGGGTAAAAGGGTCCATCACCGATATATCAAGGACAAGAAATGTTAATATTTTCAAAAATAATATTAGAATGCAAAGGAAAGAAGATGTATAATCAGTCATCACCTCGATTCTTACGACGTTACGATCGGGAGAAAAACGACAATGCTTGAAAATTCATAACAAAAGTATTTTATTTCATTTAGTGTTTTAAGTTATGAGCTCTGTTGCTTAGTTTACGAGACTTTAATATAATTTTTAAGTATACGTTATTTAATTGTTTTATATATAATCAATCATCACCTCGATTCTTACAACGTTGCTATCGGGAGAAAAACGACAATGCTTGAAAATCCATAACAAAGTATTTTCTTTCATTTAGTTTTTTTGGTTGTGAGCTCTGTTGCTTAGTTTACGAGCACTTGATATAATTTTTAAGTATACGTTATTTAATAGTTTTATACTATGTTTTGTTGAATTTAAATTAAATTCAGCAGTTTGTTTTATATAACCTCTTAAAAGCTTTTGCGTGGGTGGAGTAAGAAGAGCTAACTGAACCTTTTTTTGGAAAATGTGTAAACAATAAAAAATAGTAAATAAAACAGCAAATTTGGTTTATAAAAACAATTTCGCAGGGATGAATTAAATAAATAGTCATTCCAACTCTGCTGATAAGTATTTCTGACAAATAACCAGATCAAGGTTATATACAGTGTTATCTCGGTTTAAAATGATCCCATGAAATATAAATTTTGCATTGGTTGAATAATATAAAATAGCTAATATTTTGTATAATCCCTTTAAATT